GATTCTTTAACCTATGCTCACCCCGGCAACGGCGCCAGAAATGCTTATTGGCATTTCTTAGCGCAATCACCAAGTTTGGAGGTTTTAAGTCCATCCCCAGCAATGGTGCTAGAAATGCTTGTTGGCATTTCTTAGCACAATCACCAAGTGTGGAGGTTTTAAGTCCATCACCGGCAACAGCGCTAGAAATGCTTGTTGGCATTTCTTAGCGCAATCACCAAGTGTGGAGGTTTTAAGTCCATCACCGGTAATGCCGCTAGAAATTCCTGTTGGTATTTCTTAGCACCATCACTAAGATTGAGTTAACCTTAGTGACACCGCCAAGAAACATCAACTGCGATAGTTCTTAACGATTATTGAAATATCCGCAAGCGCACAAATCTATCGTTGTAGCATTTGACCCGAAAGTATTTAGGGTATCATTATTTATGTTTTCCCAAAGGAGGGCAAGGTATAAGAGTCTAGCATGAGAATGAACAAGGTTACATACTTGCATAGTGGACCAGTAGTTCATGACAGGGGTAAAAACGATATTTTAAGGATAGTGGACACAAATCTGAGTCAACCTCAAGGATAAAAGGAAAACAAAGAATAAAAGAATATTCCTACGTGGAGCCGGCATGTTGAAATATTGCCATGCAAAGAACTATTAACGATCATACAAGCTATATGATTAGAGTTAGAACTAATGTGAGATGGACAGGGAGATCCCCGAGCACTGGTCTGCCAGGAAGCCATAGAGACTTTATGAACTCCTACACAATACACGAACATGGGGGATTACAAAGGACGAACAAGGCCATGACCACCTACTGCCTACCCATCGACCGTGGGGCACCGTCATATCTGAAGGTTCCCATGCACCCAAGCACCACGCCCGTGTACAAAGAAACTACCCATATCCCCCTAGGACTCCGACCCTATGGATCGACAAGCAACAATATGGGCAAACCCGAAGGAATGACGAACCGTCACCTCAACCCTAGCTCTACTTCGACTCATACAAATCATACGAATGATTAAGCACGAAGTTGAACATGTTAAGATCATAACACACAAACTATATGCTTGTTCATATATCATGATTATAACAAGACAACTATACTCTAGTTCATATGTACTACTATATAAATGATATGAGAGTATGACTTTGAAAGAACTCTTCATAGTATTATTCATACCAAGATGTCACTCTTCTTCCAGGGAGCCAAGCCCTCCTTGATAGCTTTGCTAGCTCCAAATACTACTACTAAAACTAAGAGAGTATAAGTAGAGAGAGGTGAGGTGTGTAGCTCCAAATGGTGTGTATTGAATGGTGAGCTCCTCCTCTTATATAGTGGAGTGTGGTCGGTTTGGCGCTGCTAAATTAGGAAACTAGCCAAAACCACCTATGCATGGAGGCATGCAACCGCCTGAAGAGCGTGGGCCCAAGAGGCGGTGGGGGGGTGCGGGTGCACCCTGGCTGGCCGCGCTCGCCACCGCCTTGCTCCTGTGGGCTCTTGGCTAGGCTTGGACCTCTTCTATGTTGGTGCTCAGCCCAAATTTGGTGGTTGGATGGGCCTTTGCTTGATTCCTTGGTGTATGATCTGCATTACGCTTTCTCTGATGGCGTATTTCGACTATAATTCCATTGTATTCCAATATAAGTCCTGCAAAACATATTTCTTCCAATACAAGTGGAACTATGTCAAACTAAAAGCATATGTGTATAAGTTTGCTTAATTTCTCCTATTTTGGATAGTAATTGGTGGTTGAATTTGATCGTTAGTGATCGCCAACAGTGTCAAAGAGAGAAGGCTTCTCATTTATGGCAATGCTTGCAAGAGCCTTATTCTTGGTGGTCTTGTCATCATCACTATCATCATCATTACTTAAGGAAGCATCACTATCCCAAGTGACCACATATGAACCACCCTTCTTCTTTTTGTTGAACGTCATCTTGTCCTTCTCCTTCTCCTTCTTGTCCTTCTTCTTGCTCTTCTTGTCATCATCTTCATTTTCACTATTGTAGGGGCATTGAGCAACATGATGATCCTTGCTACCACACTTGAAGCACCTCCTTGATTCATCCTTGTTCGTTGATGATGACTTCTTCCTTCTAGCACGATAGCCCTTCTTCATCATGAATTTGTCAAATCTCTTCACAAAGAAAGCCATCTTCTCATCATCAATCTCATTGAAGCTTGAGTCTTCATCTTCACTTGATGTTTCTTGCTTTGCCTTGCCCATGGATGATGATGTGGCTTTGAATGCCACACTCTTCTTCTTCTCATCCTTCTTGTCATCTTTCTTCTCCTTATTCTTCTCCTCTTTCTCATCATCATCTCTATAGGTGCCATCGGTCATCACATCTCCCAACACTTGGTTTGGTGTCATGGTGTCCAAACCACTCCTAACCACAATAGTGACCAATGTGCCAAATCTTGATGGTAAGCATTGTTGATGGTCACTAACACCCATTTTGACCATCAACATTCCACCCAAAAGCATGACAAATTGAGGTAAATCATCATCACATGTGTAGAATTTTGCTTATAATTCACCTAGTTCCATTTGTGCTTGTAGAATTATTTGTATGCAGGAAATTTAAGCAAAAATAAGCAAAACAGTGACAAATATGGACACATGGAAGCAAGTGGACGTGGTAGGGAGCCTTGGGCCCACTTGGCAGCACTGCCCAGCCCCACTAGGGCGTCGCCCGACCCCCAAATTGGCCATGCCATGTCACCAATCCATGGGAGCTGCTCTAGAGCCAATGACAAGCGTCCATTCAAGTCGGTTTGATCAATGGACAAGATTTGATGACGGTGGATCCATGGGCCCATTTTCATAGACTTAGGAGGTTTTCACCGCCTTACCAACTGACTTACCTGCCGAATTTTGACATGTGTTGGCTTCACAACTGACTTGGAGGAGCAACCACAGCTCTACGATGTAGAGGTGGTGCATCCAAGGGCCGACTAGTGCCCCCCTTGCGCCGCCGTGCCCCCCTTGCGTCGCCGGCGCCCTAGGTGCTCCATTGACCTCCTGGCTACCTACAAATACCCCCATGCCTCTCTACACTATAAATAGAGGGTGTGGAGCTTGGTGGAGAAGTTCCCCATTCATTTCCAAGCTCTCTAAGCTTCTCTTAGCTTTCTAGCTTAACATTAGCTATAGAATAGTAGTCTAGTAGGGAGTAGAGCAAGAGCGGAGCTTCTCTCAGAGTCTGGAAGAGTCTTCTGGGTCTGGTATAGCTCTTTTATAATTCTTTCATTTAGCATTTACTTTATTCAGTATTTATTTTAGTACTTTATTCTAGTATTGTTGCTTTGCTTTACTTAAGTACTTACTCATTATTGTTCATAGGTGCTTATTGTTTGGCATTAGTAGCATAGGTTATCTCTTAATTAGTAGCTATTCGTTAGTATTGGTTCCACCATCTGGTTAGGGTGCTTTGATCTCATTTCATCAGAGCTCGGATCGAAGTAGTAAGTTCATAGATTAAGAGTGGTGCTTAGGCTATAGATTACGTGTGGATACGGCTAGGCCTCCAGATAGATTGTGGTAGGTGGCAAGTGGTGACAGCCTTGTCCATCCTCTGTATTCCACCACGATAGGTCTAGTTATTAAATCTAGGGCTCATGGCAGACCTTGTCTATTTAATTCTCCTAGTTGGTAGGCGGGCTGTTGTAACACCCCTAGTGTTAAGCATCACTAAATCTCACTACAAGGATTTGACCCTTATAGCACCACTTGTTTTCGCAACCCCACACATTTGGTTGCAATATTTGGTTCTATGGCAACCAACGTCATAATTGGTAGCGATATATGGGTCTTATTGCCACCAAAATTGTGTGTTGCGTTAGTCATAAGCTTCGTTGCAAGACGTAGGCGCTAATGCCATGGTGGAAAATGTGGTTGCGAGTTTGGGTGTCTATTGCCATTCCTATTGTTGAGTTGTGATAATATTGATTTTGCGTTGTGATAGCTAGGTACTGTTGCCACCATTGTAAAGTTGGTTGCAGGTAGTTGCGCATATGGCCACAGTGTAATTACGTTGTCTTAATCTTGACCTGCGTTGCGATAGCTCTTTCTCTATTGCATTCAAAAAAGGATTAGTTGCAAGTAGTTGTGAATATAGCAACGATGAAACTTTGTTGCCTTAATCCTGCCCTGTGTTGCAAAAGATCTTATTATATTGTATCGAAAAAATCATTCATTGCACTATTGAGGTTCTATTGCCACTAACTTTATATGTGGCTCTATTTGAGTATACGGGGTTGCATGAAGATTTATATTGCCATTAAAACTTGTGGCATGTGAGCCCAACTATCAAGATGGGTCCTATTGCTACCTAGCTGAGTCGGTCCATATGTCATGTATTCTTTATCTTAAATTACTCTATATTCATTTGTATTATACACCCTTATCCGAAATGACCCATTCAGCCTAAGATGGCCCATTTTGAAGCATGTGAAATATTTTTAAAAACAACAAAATACACGACCTTTATTTTATATATGTGCCCAAAGCTATAACTCAAGAAAGCAAGGTCTTCCATTTCTTAGCTTCTATTTTATATGGCCCCATGATAATTTTTTAAATAAATAAATAAATACAAGTACAAGAGGATTTGACTCGTGACTCTAAAATCAAAGTAAACAATTCTTGCTTAAGTTATGCACGTATATTTGAATGTACAAAGCACATAATTCTTTTATATATAGTATAAAAGAGCAGTTAATAACAAGTTTGAGCGGTGCAGCCGCGGCATAGTCACGGCCGCTGCACTAGTTGGAGACATTGTAAAAAAAATGGCACCTCCATGTAGGCGGAGCAGCCGCACTGGCGTTCATTCATTGTTGAAGCTGTGAATCTCTGACTGTTCGTCCGTGGATTGTTGTCGATTCTTTCGCAAGAGATACTATCAAGTATTTCTCCGTTGAACTCAACTATTTTGCGTCAGCTTTGTAACGTGCCAGTTGGTCGATGGGATATTCAGCAAGCTGGTTTCAGAACTATACCTGGTTGTCCCTGTCCAACTGAAACTTTGAGGCTCTACCGGAAGGACAAGCCGTCGTTGGGCAAGGGTTCTGAACCAGCACCGGTAGGGGTTGTGCAGAACAGCCTGAACCAGTCCTCTGCAAAATCGCAAGGCATCAGATCGATATGCATTAGCGGTTGTGCATGAACAATTGTTTCGAGAGGTCACTTGTGTGCCCACCATTCCAACATGCCATTGATCCGAGACTAGACCTTTGAAATCGGCTGCGTCCATCTCCTGTTTCGTCAGGAAGTACAGTGTGAGATGTTTCAGTCTTTGATTGATGCGCAGACTGGGTTGTGCGAGAGCTAGGAAACTTGATGAAATTAAACTTACCACACTGTAAATAGGAGGCATGGTGATCTCCCATGCTGATTTCATAAGGGGTATGGTATGCAGATGAAGTGAGGCTTCAGGGATTCTGAAGTTCCATCTGAAAAAGAAAAACGGAACGAAACTGAATTTACACCTTTTTTTTTTTTTAAAACACAGGAGGTTGTTCTGCTTACTGTCAGCGCATGATCTTGACTCACCCAATGTACATGAAGATGCAGAACTGTACCCACTCACGTACTAACACGCGAAACCAGTAGTTCTCTGATGTGTCGTCGGCCCTCATGTATACCTGAAACCACAATGTCAGAACTCAGAAGCACTTCCAAAACGAGCTGATCATCTCAACGGAACAGTGCTGTGTGCTAGGTCTCATACCATGATAAATGCCACTGCGGCCACCTGCATCGTTCCCTGAAATCTCCTGAAGAAAAACCGAGAGACGGAGCTTACGAACATAGCAATTTTCGAGAGGCAAATCAGAACTGAAACAGTTGGGAAGAAAGGGCTTACTTGAACATTGTATACTTTGTGTTCAGCGCGCCGTGCTAGGAATGGATGTCTTCCTCTTCTATGAAACTGAGCTGCTCCTGTAGAACTATAAGATTCTGGGAAGTACGCCGAAATATGATGTAAAATGACGCAAAATAGTTGACCAGAAGAATGACCTGTACCAAGTCAGAAACTTTTTAAAAAAAAACAACAACAACAACAACCGAGCATTCCTCTATACAAGTTCAGACAAATTGTTGCAATATTAATTGTTGCTGAAATCTTACATTAATTGCTTCAGGTTCAGCGTGTACTTACTGTGAAGTAGGGAACTGCAGCCTTGTAGCCGATGAGGCTCAGGTACAGAAGGCACCCGAGAGCGGCCGTGGTTCGTCTCTCCCGGATGGAGAGGCGCTCGCACATGATGCAGTAGCCGTGGGAGATGAGCACGAAGGAGACGAAGGAGGCCGTCTGGAAGAGGATCCCCGTCACGTACGCGCCGAACGACATCCACAGCGAGCATGTCTGAAGGTGCACGCACGAGTACCTGGGCAGCGTATCGTATCGATTCAGCATCACTCGCTAATTAAGATTTCGCAAAAAAGGATCTGGGTAAGCAACCGCAGCTAGCAGGGCCAGTTTACAGGTGTTCAGGGACAGATACGTTGAACAAACTGAAATGCGGGCGTTGGTCAGAGTGCTCACCAGAACAGGAATGAGAGTGCCATTTGGAGCGCTTTGATCAGTGGGACTAGGGACAGGATCCATTGTAGGTTATTCGCCTGCGCAAAGGAAACAAGGTTACTGCATCAGAACCGCACTATCACGTCCTGGCAACTAAGACTGACAGACATTCCCAACGGGATTTCCACAGCATCAGATTCTTCCATTGTACTAGGTTCACTTGCTTTCTTCAGAACAAAATTTCAGAAATTTCGTAAGAACCAGTAATTGGCAAACCACAAACACACAAATGAAAACACGTCAAATGAAAATTCTGGGACGATGGCCTCTGGCAGTACCTGGTAATGGCGGTTCCTCCATGTGCTGAAGGCCCAGGAGAAGCCAGAGGCCGCCCATATGGCCAGGAACCCCAGGTACAGCAACGGGAGCGGCTGGTAGCCGTTGCTCAGCGCCGGGAGCGGAGACGTCGCCTCCTGCATCTTCCTTCTTGCACAGGCACCCGGTTCCCCGCACACCACAGACGCGCGAACAGGGCCTTGCCTCCGTCCTTGGTAACCGAAGGGGATGGCGGCACTGCACTAGTTGGAGACAACGTAAAAAATGGCAACTCCATGCGCCCGAGTAGATTTGAACCGTGACCATCAATCAAAAATAAGAAAAATGGAACCCACTCACCTTACCAGCAGGCTAGAAAGGACATTTAGTACGTATTGTATGTATATAGGTATATGTACATAATATCACTAGGATCCGTAAAAAATAAAAATAACCGTATATAATATCACTAGGACCCTAAAAATAAAAATGATGTTTTTACTAAGATTTGAACCTAGTTCCTGTAGAAAACAAATGACAAACCAAACCAGTAGGCTATTAAGATGCAAGTGCTAGAAATGTAGAAGAAAATGACCTAATAAGAAGTCTTGACCATCCTTTTCCACACCGAGGCTCACTAATTAAGAGCTAGTAATACAGTTGGCCGCTGGCTGTAAGATCTTTGCAGCCTATCTCTTAACCTACCTATATAGTAGTTTTCTCTTCACTATTAATATATGACTCACTTGTCTTTCTCATAAAGTTTCTTAGTTCTTGTGTCTAAGCTTACAGTTCGCTTCTCCTCTCTTCTCCACCTCACGTGCTTATAGCCTATTATTATACTTGCTTTAAGGCGCACTGGCCTATCTTGCTTGGCCTACTCTGCCATAGCCAAGTGGCCCATCACGAAAACTACCACAAATGTTGCATGGTACGGTGGTATTTGCTTCCTATATAAGAAAACCAACGAGCTCCACCTTCAACACAAATCTTGCATGCTACGCTGGTACTGATTTGTTTTGCTAGACCACTAGTTCTTGGGTTCGAGCTTGGTTACATAGATGTTTTTATTTTGACCTAACGGAATAAAAAAAGACATGAGCATCCGGGCTCGAACTGACGGTAACCTACCATTTTAGTGAACACAGCCCTGCCACTATACGAAGGCACTTTTAATTTTTCTGCGTTTTTCCCACTTTTATCCAATCCTGTCTCCCTTTCTCCTCATCAACTACGAAGAAATAATTTTCATATAAAATTTAAAAGAAAAGGTTAATGAAAACTGCTAGAAAAGCCAAGTTCATCAGGTGTTCGAATAACATCATCTTGCGCTTTTTTTATATGTACAATTTTTATTTTTATTTCAGAAAAACAATAAAGACGCCTAATATTTTATAAGAGTCGAACTCACCATACGTGAAAGGTCAAGACTACTAGGCCACAATGCTTTTGTGAGCGTCCTGGTGACTGAACACATTAAATATTAATTCCCAATGCAAGTTTGCGGTCAACATATATAAAAAGGCGCCATCTAGCAGTAATCGCACCTTCGTTGTGTTGATGATCAAATTTAGCGAATTGAGGATATATAAGTTTTGACTGAATGATGGACTTGTTATTTGTTTGTTGTTCGGCTGTCATGGCTGTTAGTATCTTCATGATTAATTGGTTAGTATATGGATTTGGAAGAAGGCATGATGACCGGCGGGAGATTGGATACGTGGTCAACAAACTTTAACTGAAATTAGCAAGTCCCAGTGTTGGAGTTAGCCGTGACGGGAGATGTATCCGGAAGTTACCTACCAGCATTTTGCAGGTGGATCACGATGGAAACTTGGAAAGGTGCTGATTTTTTGGATGTGCAACAGCAACAAGCGGAGGTGTCTCGGACTGTCAATAGGGACGTGCAGATGCCGGACTTTTCTATATATTTTTTATTTTTTATTTGAGAGGGAGTCAAAAAATTGTACATAAATATTATTAAATGCTAGTTTACGCCAAAAGCAAGTTTAAGCGTATCGGTCTCCTAATCGCCAACAAGATCGAAAGTGGGCTCTAGATCTCGTTGTCAGCAACGAGCGGCTTTTTTAGTCTTCAAAGCCTTTTTTTGACAAGGGTGTTTGCAGGTATCCCTTTTCTTTGCTGTCTTGACGGTGCAATCTTCAAACTCCGACGGGGAATAGACGTTTGAAGAAAGAAGATGGCCGATTTAGTCTTGGATGTACTCTTATTTTCTAGAGGTTGTTTTATGTCTTATTGTCTATCTTTTTTGCACCGGCCTTTGTTTTCCTTGAGATATATCAGATGTGACACCTGTTTTGAGTGCCTTTATAAAAAGCGATTTACACATGCAGCTGATGCGTCTGACTGCAATACAACGCATATGTTAATTAAGTTTAACGCAGGCGGACACAAGTGCCCATCTATGGAAATGATCTTTTGAAATAAAAAAAGCCTCGCAAGCCCATTAGGCTTACGGGGCCAATGATCCAGCCCTAGACCACCCCAAGCCATGCCGCTAGATCTGCCGAACCGCACCACCGTCGTATCTACCGCACCGCGCTGTAGCTGGATGTGCTGAGTCTGGCTGTGGTTGGTCCAAGCCGCGCTGCCAACTCTGCCGCCAGTCGTGGATCTCGCTGCCCATCGTGAATCTCGTCCTCCATTGTGGAACACACCACCAAGCCATGTCGCCAGATCCGCCACTAGTCAAGCACGTCATTGATCTTGCCATCACGCAGTTCTCATTGCGGATTTGCGAGGGAGGGAGGGTGAGGGAGATTATTGACATTTGAGAGAGGAGAGAGAGGATGAGGGTGGGTAAGGAGATTGAGATTTGCTATTTTCAACAATTTAAATGGATTTTTGTATGCTTATCAAAAGTAATTTCAAGTTGAATTTTAGGTACCTCTAATAAAATTCAAAAATATATATTTGGGATCATACATTTAACATGGGCCGATATCCTAGAAATAGAGAAATAAATAAAGGGATAATTCATCTATCTTACTCCAAGTTACCATATAATAATTGTAATCATATCTAAATGTTGTTAGAAAAGCATATTTTTGCATAACAAGGGCCCATATTTTTTTTTGTTGATTTCAAGGTAATGTCAAGATTGTCTACAAATTTAAAGTGTATACAGTGAAGAAAATGTTTTGAGGTGTACAACATATAAAGTAGCCTGAAATTATATGAAACTTCAAATACATTTTTATAAATTTTGTAAATCTTATTTGAAGTACATATAATTTAAATTTGATGTATGTGTTGACGATGTAGCACTCGTTTTATTCCAAATTATAAGACATTTTGATTTTTATCAATATATTATTTTTAGTATGCTTCTAGACATATCTAAGTGTATAGAAAAGCTGTGAATTTAGAAAAGCTAAAATATCTTATAATTTGAAATTGAGAGAATAATAGATTATGTTTAATTTTTTAATGTCTACTTAAAAAGTTGACTTTTTTAGAATTCTACGTACCGATTTGTTCTATGTAATGTTAAATACAAATTTGTTGTTTCTAGTCAACTGTCTCATCTTTAGTCAGATTCAAGGTGATTAATAATCAACACACTTTTTGCATGAAAATAATATAAACTTAATTTCATATGCTTGTCTCCTTAAGTGATTTAACAATTGTTTTTTTGGAACACTATGCATTTTACATGTGTGGTAGAAATAAATGGAAATCTTCTCAACCATGACATGAAAATCTTGTCAGAAAATTTTGAAATTTGGTTGGGCATATATATAATTTAAATTTTGAAACCTAAAAAATTTTGGCGGCCAAACTCCCGCGCTGTGTGTAATTGAAACACGCCTTAATCTCACGCAGTCCCCACCGAGCACCGTGCCCTCTGAGTCACGACTCCAGATCTCGCACCGCTCGCCTTGGACCTCCTCGACGCGAGGCACTTCCCGCGCTGGATTCGAGCTCCTCCCCTGATGCCGCCGCCGACATTGGGCTCCCGCTCGCCGGAGCCGCCTACCAGCCCTACGTCTCCGAGCTCCTCTCCTCCATCGAGCGCCTCCACAGGTACGTACGCCTACACTTGCTGCGTGACACTTGCTGTGCGACCCTTGATTGGAGGCGATGGTGATTCCGGGTTCGTTGGTTTGGTGAGAGATTGTAGGAGCCGGATCTTCTGAGTGTCGATGCGGAGCCGATCCTCCAGCGCCTCCGCCGCCTCCCCCACGGTACTCGATCCTTCACCGCCGTAGCCCCTACCCATGGGACTCTCAACTTGTCCTCAAGCGAACGCATCGAGCATCGTGGCGGGGCCTCACGCCGATGCGATGTCGATTGCCGGCTCCTGCCCGTCCACCACAAGATCCGGCGGCGTGGCACCGTCCCTCTACAGATCCGCTCGTGGCCGTCAAAGTTAGCGGTTTTCACCCACGGCTCGTGCCCCGACAGATTAGTGTCCGTGCACTGCTCCGATCCTAGATCGCTGTGGCCAGGGCGAGATCCTCCATGAGCACTTCGACCCCGTGCCTCCCCAGCCCCGGTCATCGTTGCCACATCCAAAGACACCCCATCCTGATGTGTGCTATGATAATTTTTAATTTACTTTAGTTACAAGCTCCCGATCTTGATAAGTCAGAATATGGCTCTGGCCTCACCTGATGTGTTGCTGCCGGCCATTACTATACTCAGGTTATTAGCCAAGTACTGCCCTCTGTCTCATATATTCTCTAACAGACTGTATTACTACTGATCCTAGAAATCTACTATTAGTTGTTTAGCTATCATTTGAATAACAAAAAATTATTCTGGATGAGGCCACGAATAGACCTAGCTAAAGTGCTTTGTATTATTCTCTCTCCTCATCAATCTGCATTAACCGTTTTTACTGGAGGAATCCCACCTATTTGCCATTGTCATTTTGCCCCTGGAATGGAGATCGGATTCATGACTATTTTCTCAGTAAAATAAATGACAATTGGGATTACGAGATGCTGCTGCAGTAGTCTGTCTAAATTAAACTAGTAGGTCTCTTAGGTCTATAGTTTCAGTATCTGATTTAATGAATCGATGCCATCATAATAGTATATTACTCGTTTCATTTTCTTTTTAGTAAAATTTACAATGGAAAAAGACGGACGAGTGATAATCAATATAGAAGCTTATATTTTGTAATCCCAGGAAATCA